CCACTGTTCATTCATCCACCACCACCTGATGGACATTTAGGTTGTTTCACTCTGCGGCTGTTAGGAATGATTCTGCTGAACATTCCCCTCCAGGCTTTCGAGTAGATGTGTTATCTTAGATACATACCTGGGAGTGGAGCTGCTAATGTTTGACACACTGCATGTAGCCTTTGGAGGAACCTCTAAGGCAGGTTTTAAAGTGGCTGAACCTCTATATCATGTAACAATATAAAGGTACAATGTATTCTACACTACACTGTACTGTATATATTACACATATATGTTCACTACATATTATATGTACATACTATGTATACTGTAAATATATGTATATTTACAGAAATTTATCCCATTTAAAATGTTTCTTTTCTTATTTGTATTCATTCATTTGATCTCCAAAGGCCCATAGACACATAATCTCACAGAAAGAGCAGATTTTCCTTTGTACCTGCTGACTTTGGTCTCTTGACATCACAACACAGAATGTAAATATTTGGGGCATTTCTTTCCTACCCGTCATTCTTTCTGATTTTTGAATCTCTGCTTCCCTTATAGTGGAATGTATGTTATCCCCCTCTGCACAGTGTTGCCATCTTTTGCTTAAAATACATTCAGAAGTTGAACAGTAAAGCAGTTTGAATGGGAGAAAAAGATTTTTAGGATGACATTTGGTCTCTTTAAAAATATATCCTTCAGAAAATCAGGTTCTGTTAAAATGTATGTGCTGCCCAGCAAGCTCCTCAAGGACAAGGGCAGAGAATCAGTCGGCCTGCCTGCATCGTAGGTGCCCAGTGATGTGAGATGAGGGACCCACTTTGCTGGGTCAGCACGCGCGGGGAGAGCATTTGGCACCGAATCGTCTTTCTGGATGTTGGTGTCCGTGTCTCGGAATCCCTCTGTCTGTGCTGACGTGTCATACAAGCTCACTGACACTGGCCTCTATTTTGTGTCTCTTTGGAAAACTCAATTGTAGGGAAAGATGATTGCAAATTGAACTTAGAAATCAGCCTCAGAATGTTGGACGCCGGAGGATCGAGTCGGTAACATCTGTTCTGGTTCTGCCCCACGATCCCCAGCACAGCGTTGCTAGTGAGGCCGGTTTTTGTGATCGGGCTCCGAAGGTCTTCTGATCAGCAGTGTTTCCAGTAAGAAGGAACCTAGGGCCACCTTGCAGCAAAGCGCCTAGACACAGGACGCCGGGCACACCAAGCTCATGGCGGCTCCAGCGGGCACTCTCAGCACCTGTGACAGGTCCAGTTCCATCGTCACGCAGAGTCCTTAGCGATGGACGCAAGTCCTCCGACTCCTAAGCAAACTGGGAAACAGACCCTAACAGAAAGGGAATTCGTGAGGACACGGGGCCCTTCCAGACTCTCCAGCAGGGGGAGCACCAGGTTGGGAGAAATAGTTCGTTCGGTGAAACAGTCGCTGCCAGGACCTCGCAGGGAATAAATACCACAGGGCCGGAAATCCTGTGTCAGGAGCCTGGAGAACTGGCCACAGTGGCCACTGGTTGCCACCGAGAGAGTGGATTCCACTTTGTGCGACTGCTGTGTACTGAAAGCTCAAGAGACACTTTCAGTCTAAATATGGAAATAACCTGGAAAAAAACTTTCTGATATCAAGTGACCAATAGTGAGATTATGTGAAATGTGTATGAAAGCCACTGGCATGGTTTTCTTTTTGTAAGAGTAGTATGCGTGTATGCACACATGCACGCACACACACATGCACACACACACACGCACGCACACGCCCCGCTGTCCAATGGGCAGAACGTTCCCAGCAGGCAGCAGAGGAAGAACAGCTCATCCGTGCTCACCCTCCTGTCAGCTTCCACTTAGGAGGATGGAAAGGTGCCGCCTACAGTGAGCACATTTATATAAAGAAAATTGTTTTCTTGTATTTCTGCTTCACACGAGCTGCAAAGGCCTTACTGCTTTTCTAAGTGACAAAGATAAAGGAGACAGTTTATTTTGTCTAGGTTTTCAAGTACATTTACATGGATCTGAGTGGCTGAATGCAGAGGCCTGGTTAGCATATAGTTTGTCATGTACATTTGTCTTCACAGTGACCTGGAGTCACAGACAGTCAGTGAGCCTGTGACTCTGCAGACAACCCTGGAACCATGTGCAGACAGAATCGGCGGATCCTGCCTCCTGTCACGCGGTCGCATGTTCACGCTCAGCTTTCCCAGTCAGCAGGCTCGTTCATGCCCATGACTGTCTAATGTGGGCATTGTTCAAAAGGAAGAACACTAGAAAAACCATTTTTTGTGTTGCTCTGGAAAATTTTGTATGGTTTCCTTTTCGAAATTTCCTAGCTCCCATCAGGTCTAGATGTGGAAATGTATTTCCATCCCTCAGGCAGGATGCCCAAGGAGTGCCCACTCCAAGAGAGTGACATAGAGGCTCAACGGGGATTTCAGAATGATTTGTGGTTCCCCAGAGTGGGTTTCCAAGGACAAGAAGGGGTGTCCTGGGGTGGGCACCGGGAGGCGGCCCTGGTCCCTCAAACATGACTGTACCCCCCAATCTCAGCTCCTGATTCTCAGCTTCCAGCCCTGTGATTTATAAGGATAGCCCACCTTCCTGGCACTACATTACACATGCTAAACCGTTAGGGTTTTTTTTAAAAAATCTATGAATCCTAATAAGGCTGAAGTGTTTATTTACTGTTTTAACAACTCAAAATAGACAGTCACAGAGGACAGAACCTTTCAGGTGCTCTGCTTTGTGACTCAGCAGCTGTGACCTTGGATCGCTCAAAGCAGGAATTCTGGAGCCCGACTGCCTGGCCCGGAGCGTGGCTCTGCCGCGTGCTCTGCAGCCTGCGTGAGCTGCTCGGTGCTGCCGCGCCTCGTTCTCCATGACTGCACGAGGGTCGTGAACGCCCTGCCTTACGGGATTCCCTTGAAGGCCCAGTGGGTCGGTACAATGTAAATGCTTACAGGGTATCCAGCATGGGGTGCAGAGCCAATGATAACCGTGGTGAACCTGTGTTTGAAAGAAAGAAGTGTTCTTAGTTTTCTGTAATGGCAACTTCCCTGAAGGGGCATACCCAATTTTGGAATGAAGAGATCAGAAGGAGTTAGAAAATGTATTTGAAACACAGGATCACAAAATATGCTAAACCCTGTGGGAGTGCCATGCAAAGGGCACCGATGGGGCCCCGGCCCTCTTGTGGAGGGGGTCTCTGCTCTCAGCTAGACGCTGTGGCTGCAGAGGGGGCACACATTCCTCCTTTTAAGGACTCTCCGACCTCTACTATGAGACTCTTTCACCAGAAGAAAGGGCAATAATAGTGGAAGAAAACAGCAGGGTCAGTGTAAGTGGTGGCAATACAGGGTGAGAAATCAGCTATTTCCAGAAAACAGCAGGAGAAGGAAATGCAGAATGTTCACATTTTTACGAAGACAGAAGTGAGGCTGAGAGCCCAGGAGTCAGGGTGTCCCCTGAGGTGCCCTCTCCTGTGCAGGTGGCGCTGCACTAAACACACACAGACACACACACTCGTGTGGGCTCCACGTGGGCAAGCCACCCTAAGCCCCAACATGCAACAGCACCCAGGTGCTGTGGGCATCTCGCCACTCCTGTTGACTGTGGCCATTTCCGTGGGTGGGCACCCAGGTGGCCGTGCTTGGTGCCAACTTGCCCTGCTGGCAGTCTGCCCCGGGGTGCACAGGAAGCAAAGGGGAGGTGCCCACAGCTGCAGGCCCCTGGCCTGGCGCAGCCCACAGACAGTGGGGGCCCAGGCAGAGGTTTATCCTGCTTCTTTATGTGTCAGAGCTGGTATTGGCTTAGAGCTCATTTCTGCCCCATTTTCTTTCCATCTTTTTGTGTCTGTTTTGGGTGGAGATAAGGGAGGTGGCAGGAGCTGGGATGTGTTATACTGGTTTGAAAATAAATATTCATATTAGAATAGGTAACTAAATTATAGTCTATTAATATATAAAATGTTACTAATTTCAGCAAAAATGATGACTTTCAATCTATAACACATGGGCTTCACTTAATCAGAACCCATAACTGAGCCCAGTTTTCTCTGCTATTCCACCTTTAAAGAAAGAAGTGAATCAGAGAAGAAAGTTACACCCAGAGTTTGCTTTGAAAAGCCAGGAACAAACTCCACCTGGCTGACTGGGGTCAGAATCGGCGACCTGGGGTCTGTGGACGTTTTATCTGCAGGCCTGTGTGGTGTTCCCGTTGTGACCCAGGATGGGAAAGAGCAGTTGATCACTTCTGTCCACATTAATCCTGCTTTTGATCACATAAAATGAATTTTCACCAAACTGTGAAAGATTGTCAACAAACCCTGAAAGGAAAGGAGTTCAGCTGGGTGGGAAACGTGGCCGACCGCCTCTCCTTTCTGCCAGAGGTCCCCAGGGCTGTCCCCAGGGCTGTCCCCAAGGCTGTCCCACACTTCCAGCCTTTCTCAAAATAGCCAGAAGGGAAACCGGAGAACATTGATTTTTAAGGGAATTTGGAAGTAAGTGATCATAAGATCAGAAAACAGGTTTGAGTTCCCATCGCTGTCTCTGCCCTACAGCCTAGTCTGGAAGACTCCCCATAATTGAAGGTCAGGGCAGCCCTTTTACTGTTTATTTTATTTTTCTGAGTGTGTGAAGTTGCCAAAAGCCAACGTGATTTTTATGAGACTCACAAGTTTTGGGCCTAAACTCAGGAGCCAAGTATGCTATTACACTGCGTGAACTACCAGGGCTTTTCAGCCCCCTTTTAAGGGGGATGATCCTGACTTCACTACCTGGCCTTAAGAAACCAGGCATCAGAGCGGTTTGGTAAAAAGCCTCCGCTGCTACGTGTGGTGCGGCTCGCAGCTGCGGCATGTGCCCCAGGGCAGTCGTGGGGCAGAGGTGTTGCCGAAGGCCGTGGTGCACCGAAGCCTGGCAGCGGCCTCTCGGCATTGTCCCAGTCTCACCAGCCCTGCCCTCTGCTGGGTGTTCACGGGAGCCCTCTCTCTCCATCCCCTCTCTCTTTCAGCCTGCAAGCGGCCAGTGACCTGCCTGCTGACCGTGGCCTGGACCCGTCCGCCAGCTACGACTCCCCGAAGTTCCGCTCCCGGAACCAGAGCTACATGAGGGCCGTCAGCACCCTGAGCCAGGCCAGCTGTGTGAGCCAGGTCGGCAGCCTCCCCGCCCCTCCCCGGGTCTGCTCTCTGAAGCCCCTGCAGGGAGGCGGTGGCCTGCCTGTCTGAGGCCGAGGCCACGAGCAGATGTGAGGTTCCTGCCTGGCACTATCTGTGATTACAGACCCGCCAACTCTACGGGATTGTTTTCCCACATTTATGGCCACATTTATTGTTGCTCTCTCCATTACTGACCTCTGAGTAAGGGACAGCTGAGCGGCCGCTTTGTGATCTAGCTCAGGGTCTCTCCCTTTCCCCTCAACGTCTGCCCAGCGATGGGGTGGGGGGCGGCTCCATGTGGACCCGGTGGCTCTGACGACGGTGGCTTTCTCTGTGCTCTCCAAACTGAGACTCTGAGGTCCAGGAAGGAGAGTCGGACACAAGCTGCGGAGTCCGGGGTCCCTCAGAGAGCTGCACGTGTCCGGCTCACAGCGCTCACGCTCGGGCAGGACCCGTGGCCCCGCATGAGTGCCAGCGCTCGCTCAGCCTGAAGGTGCAGCTCCGCGGGAGAAAGGGGCACAGCTCCAGGAAGATGGCTCAGCAAGACACCAGCCATGCTTTGTGGGGGAAACAACAACTGAATTCTTTACGTTGCCAACACGGTTACTGATTTTAACTGACTTTGAAACTGCTTATGCCAACGCTAAGCCGTTCAGGCTTACATGTCCCGCTCCGTTCCTCTTTCAGTGGAGAGGCCGGAGGATCCGAGCTCTCGTCAGAGCCCTGGGCCGGCAGCTCCCGTCCCTGGGCATCAGCCTGGGGAGCCCCTTCGCCTCCTGAGCATGCCTTCCCACCAGTGGGGGTCCTGGTGCCTGCCCAGTGGTCTCGGAAGAATAAATGATGTCACAGGTGTGGCACAGTTCACAGAGGGACAGCCCCAGTGCCTGACGAATTTGGGGTTCTTACGTGGAAAGCCCAGCTGATGGCAGCCTCAGGAATGGTAGCCGTTGTTATTGCCGTGTAATAATAGTACAGGTCCCCCAGAGTAAGAACAGGAGCCCAGGGACCAGCAACCAGATCACTGTAATGATTTAATTAGCTGAGGAAACCCGTTTCGGCATAGAGAAGGTCCAGGATGGTTTCAGGAGACAGGAATCAACAAAAGAGATGAATTGGACACGTCACTGCCTCTTGACTCCTCCTCACACCCAGGGAAGGGCCTTCAGGGCCATCGCCGCCCCTTGAAGATGCCGCCTTCCTGCCCAGCTGCACTGCCTAGTTTACCACAATGCAGCTTTTAAAACCAGGTGTTCCCCAGCCAGGTGCCCAGCAGAGGGACCGAGTGATTTCAGCACAGACGCGGACGGCTGCTCTGGGCTTTTGATCTGCCTGCAGGAAGCCGGTTCCCATTGAAAGCCTGTGGTTGTGGTGCCTCCGCAGAAGCTGCATGGAACCTGCTGAAGGTCTCTGGGACCCACCATCCTTATCTGGAAGAAACCTGAGCTGTACACAGGCGCCCCCACCACCACGCCTACGGCAACCCCAGCTGGGATCTCTAGACGCGGGAGAGTGAAAACGGCATGTCCTCCCATCCCTTCTATCTGAAGACACTCGTCATTGTACAATAGCAAAGCAGACAGGTCAGGTGTTTGAGGTTTTATTTTAATGACTCTGACATGTGGAATTCTAAATCATTCCCAAGACTGAGTTCTATGATATAACATTAAACGAAGCTCAATATTCAATCCTGAGAAAAATACAGTTACTTATAACCCTGGTACCCTGGCCCTGGGTGAAGGGGGTCATACCTGGAACACGAGTCCAGTAACTCAGCATCAAGCCCCGGCCAGTGTCCACAGTGTCCCTGCCAGCACAGGGCGGGGTGGCCGCAGGGACGAGGAGGACTTTGTGGGGGCCATGTCTGGGGCCTCAGCATGCTCGAGATGCTTGCATTTGTGGTTAAAGCTGTTAAACTGCATTTTCTCCTGCCCCAAAGGTGAGATTAAAACCCTGACAGCCTTGTGAGGCTGCTTGCTGCTCGGCTTCTTTTCCGAGACTCATGAGTGGGGCTTGGTCTCCAGCAACGAACATCCTGGTCAGCAGGTGGAACTGGCAGCAGTGGTGCTGAGGAATGGGGTGTGTCAGGTGCTGTAACATTCCTCGCTGGGAATCTCACTGAAGATTAAAGCTCTCGCTGTTCCAGAACCATCAGCAGATGACGCAGGCTGCATGCAGGCCCCTCGGGAGGTCGCTTGTCCAGAGCTCTTGGGCCACTTACTCATCGCCAGCCTTTCTCAGAGGGCCCAGGACTCACCAGTTTGTCAGTTCACTGAGCAGGACCCCAGTCGTTCTCATTCTGAGAGTGGTGTTCCCTAAGTACCGGCACACAGCTGGGACTCGAGCTGTGCTGCCCGTCGCTCATAGTCTAGTGCTCGGTGTTCATATGTGTCCTTACTCCGCATCGTACACAGTGATGCCCACATTTTCCTATCCCCAAAACACACCTGGAACAGCAGCCCCTCAGCCCCTCCGGTCCTCCTCGTTGGATCGGCATGGGTGCTACGATGCTCAGCTTTGTGGAGGGCTGCAAGTCCCAGCTGTGCTGGGTGCTGCTCTTGGTGCTTGTCGTCAGGAGCCACCCAGCCAGCCGTGCCATCGCCGGCCCCACCAGGTGCTGGGGCCCCTTCCCAGCTGCAGGGACTCGGCGACGCCATGCAGGACACACAGCAGCCACGGCCCCAAGTCTCGGGGCGCAGATGGGTGGAGCCACGAGGGCCTGTCCTTCTGTGACGGGTTCACTCCCCTGAGCACCGTGTCCTCAGGGCCCATCCACATTGTAGCAGATGTGGGAATGGCCCTCCTCGTCAGGCTGGATAGCAGCCACTGCATGAGTGGCACATTCTGTCTATCCGTCCACCACTGATGGACATGCAGGTTGTTTCCCAAATGGTCTTTGAGTAACACTGCTGAGCACGTCCTGTACCGTGTCTGCTCGCGTCCCCGTGTCCAATTCCTGTAGAGAGATACCCAGAGGTGGCACTGCCAGGTATAATGTTTTGAGGATCCACTGAACTGCGCCCACAACGGCCGCCCCACTTCACACCCCACCAGCTGTGCGTGTGGTCCCCATGTGCCCACAGCCTCACTGTGCCATGCCTGCTCTGTTAACGCCACCTGCCGTGGCCTCTGAGGAGCCCACCTTCCCTTGGGGGCTCCTGCCACCCTCCTGCTGTCCCCTCCCCATCATCTCATGGTTCCCTGCCTTGGCCCCTCCACACCCACGTTCTCTAGAAGCAGCTTCACTTTTCCAAGTCTCCCTCAAGCTCTCCTAGAACACATAGTTTCAGTTCCCTTCTAGACCATTTTGAGATCCTTGTCAACCACTTTTTAACTGTTTAGGGGGGAATTTTTATCATCATTTCTAAAACCTCAGAGGTAAGTTTTGCAGCTAGAAGCACCAGCCCAGGGGACCTTAGTGAAATTTTAATCTTTTGTTTGTAGAACACATGTGCAAATTCAGTAGCCTCCCTCCTTAAAGGAGAGAGCGCCTGTCCCCTGGAGGCCTGCGGAAGGGTGTCCCTGAAGCCCTGTGTCGGGTGCTGTCATGTGGCAGCAACATCACTGAGATGTTGGCCTTTTCAAGTGTCTAATGTGGATCTTTGACATAAAATGATCTGAGACATTCTGGTATAATTCCACAGAAGGCAAAACGGATTGAAAGAAATCTGCGGTCCAGAAAATGTCACATTTTAAACCAGTATGAGTGTTTCTCCACACCCCACTCACTAGGTGGCTTGATGGGGCAGCACAGTTTGTCTAGGCCCCAGTCTCTGTGCAGAGTCAGATACGCTCTGTCCATCCACAGGGATGCAGCCCATTGATTCCTCCCTGGTCTTCCCTCCCCCACAGCCTCCCAGTTCTCTGTCCACACTGGCTTCAGGCGGGTGGGCAGCCTGCCTTTCAACCCCTCGGCCCCACCTCCACCACCTCCAGAACCAGTGACTGGGTTACACTTGCTCAGATTGGTCAGGTGAAGGGGCTGCAGCTCTGGCACCTAAAGCACCGAGGAGAACTAGAGGTGGCACATACCCAGTCCCCATGGGGTGGGCGGCGAGGCGGTGCTGCAGCCACATGTCCACAGGGACACCGGCCAGCCAGTCCTATCTCCTCTGGCCTCCTGTGGCTCTCATGGGGAAGGGCCATGTGCTTGCCGCTGAATGTGGGGCCCGAACCCTGGGCAGTGACTAGAAGCGAGTAGAGGCAGCACTCACCCCCCAACGTTGCCATGTATCAGATGCCCTGGGCTGCACAGTCACGGGAGAGTGAGAGGCGTCTGGGCCAGGAAGGCACCAAGGACACTTGCCCAACACCTCCCAGTGCCCAGGAGCCCCTGAAGCACCCGCCTCTCTCAGCTCAGAGGTGACTGCCAGGCACACCTGGGGCTCCGTAAACCGTCAGCAGCCTCTGAGATTGGCTCTTTGCCTCAGATCTGCCAATGCTGATCTCAGAGTAGCTGTGCTGAAAAGGTGAGGCTGTGAGGCAAGACCAGGTGAGCCGGGCCCCCTGCCCCAGTGCACAACCTGGTCAACCGCTGGGTCTCACCACCAGCTGTGCGCCTGTCGTTCCAGATAAGCGAGGCGGAGATGAACGGACAGTTCGAGTCGGTGTGTGAGTCCGTCTTCAGTGAGGTCGAGTCTCAGGCTATGGACGCCCTGGACCTCCCTGGGTGCTTCCGCACCAGGAGTCACAGCTACCTGAGGGCCATTCAGGCCGGCTACTCCCAAGACGATGAATGTATTCCCGTGATGACGGCCTCCGACCTGACCTCGACCGTGAGGGCCACCACAGGTAACAGCATGCCACCCCCGTGCCCTTCCTCGCAGAGACGCAGGCATGTGTGGATCTCCGCCCTGGTAGGAGCGGGCATGCCTTTGTTCCCAGGGCCATTTGCTGTCCTGATCTCACTGTCATGTTGTCACATTTGCAGTGGTGTTTGAAACATTTCTTTCCTAGATAACCTTGCTTTCCTTACAATGTGATCTATTCATTATCAAGGGTCTTTAAAATAATCAAGTACAGCTTTTGTAAAGTTTTCTATTGGGAAAAAGTGGAAGTATGGACACTTGGAAGGTGATTGTGTTTGAACAGTCAAAGGTTAATAGGTTGCGGTAAAACTTCAGCTGACATGCAGTGACTCCTGGGTGCCTCCAGAGAGGTGTCCTGCCAGAGTCCCTGTGGCTTAGTAAGTGGACCCGTAAACATGAGTTTCTGCTGCAAAGCAAACGGATCATTGATGTAAATCGCTAATCATCTTAGGCGCTGCAGGTTCACTGTCAGTTTCCTTCAGTTCTGATGGAAACCTTTGAAAATTTACCACGTAAGCTAAATATCACTGCAGTATTCCCATTTATGTGATACAATGAATATGCATGGCCGGGAGGAGCCCATAAAACACAGCACACGAGGAAGGGTCGCCCGGCTGCATACACAGGCCGAGCAGCGGCGTGCAACATGAGCAATGCCGTGAGATGCAGAATGCGCAGCGCATCAGAGGAACGGGGCGGTTCTGGGAGGACGCTGTCTTAGCTGCATGGGCACCGGGCAGGGAGACAAGGGACAGGGGGAAAGAGCGTGCCACCGCACCGCACACAGCGCCCATTTGTCTGAAGGCTAAAGCGTTAGCGGAATGGGGAGAGGTGACACAGGGCAGCACATAATGTCATGTACAGCCCAAACAGTCATGGTCCTTGGAGAGGAAGCATGTGGCGCACCTGTGGACAGCTGAGCACAAGCCGGGTCCGCACCTGGTTCCATGGCATCAGTCACTCTGTGACCTTGGGCATGGTAACTTCTGACTCTCGGTTTTCTGAGGTTTTCGGAGCAGTAGCTGGAGTGATTTATCAAATCAGCCTAATGATTCATTTTCAAGGAGCGTGAGGGTCCATGGTGACCTCTGATGTGGCTTTGTGGCACCCAAGTGGAGGTTTTGTGATACTCTAACCACTATGCCTTGAGGAAGTGCACTAAAGTGTGGCTTGCTTCCTTCTTGAGCATGGCTCTGTGTGTGGGGAGCCCTGCAGCACCTGCAGGGCTGTGTGTAGAGTCCAGCTGCGACCACGGTGGAGCGTGTGGGTGGTGGGGCTGAACTGCTGGTCCCCTCGTAGGTGTCCCATTTCACTTATTCCTTCCCCTCACTGGAGCCACGTACCACCTCACGTGCTCTGCTGTTGTGAAAAAGAAATGTGAAAAAAGAGCAAAATAGAAATTTGGGGAGGTAATGAGCTTCACAATTATTGCATTTTTTAGAAAACCACTTACAGAGATCATGACTGACATGCTCATCAGTATTTGTTGAATGTTTCCTATGAACAAGTGAGTTAAGTACTCTCACAGTCTTCAGAAATGCTCTGAAACAGTATTACCTGGTGGCAACGGACTTTTGTGTGTTTAGGCCTGTCATTATTGGCAGAACAGAAAATAAAATAGATTTCATGTGGATAATACAGTGCAGGATTCAGACTAAAATCCTAATTTATGTACATGGCCTTTTACCAAGTACATTGTTTTATTCCCAAAATGTATGCACCAAATATATTACCAAAGAATGCTCCTCTTCAAAGTTTCTAGTGGATCTTGGCTTAGTTACTGAATCAAAATTTCCCCTTGACTCTGGGGTGCCAAGTTAGGAAAAGGTCTGAGATTCAAACAAGAGAAAAATGGAAAACACTAGCGGAAATCTTCGGAATGTCAGACTACAGGTTCCATCTTGAAGAAATGTAAGTGTACAAGTATCATTAATTCTCTTTCGTGCTTCACTCCAAACTTGTACATTAAATTTTGATAAACTTTCTTTCCTACGTAGAATTGAGACAGCATACAGCAACAGTCTTTTTAGTAGGATTGCGGAAAATACCAAAGAAATAAAACTTCCCTATGTGGAAGAACAGAAAAACCAAAGTATGGAGAAAAACTATCCAATTACACAGGATATAAATGCCCACTTATTATTAGAACTGACCTTGTCATTCAGTTCAGAGCTTCCTGCCAGTGAGGCAAAGCAGATTTCAATAATCATGGATTAAAATACTTGGAAGGTCATATGCCAGTGCTAACATTTGAAGCTATCCTTTGTCGTTGTGCGTGTGTGTGTGTGTGTGTGTGTGTGTGGTGAGAAGTTGTTACAACAAATTTTCTTTTGTTTCCAAAACTACCTCTTGAAAGTAAATCCAAAAAAGTTATTTTTAAAAACCTTCAGAGTAATTTTTTGCAAGATAAGATTTATTTAGACGTGTTCCTTTTTGCTTGAAAAATAAACTGTGTTATTAGGTTATCTCACCTTGCATAAATGCAAAATGTAATTTTAATACTCATCTAGTAATAAACACCACATGTATACATGAATGGTTTATTAAGAATTTTAATGTATTGGGCATTCTATTTTAAACCTGGACAGGTTGATGTTGCCAGAGAGTGTGTTTTGCCTGTTTGGGGGACTTGAGTTCACATTTTTCTCCGCTGAACCAGTCTCCAGGGAACCTGGGCAGGACACACCGCTGGCAACAGCACCAGGGCCCTGAGGGCCTCTCCTTCCCGCTGTTCTTCATCATGACAGACACAGCATATTGATTAGCATCCTCTTGAACTGTGAAGTGGTTTTGAAAACATCTAACTTTCATTTCACACATGGCTTCTTTCTCATCTGCGAATTGATTTATCAGATAGATTTACTTATCTAAATATGCATTTCACCCAATTTTTCTAGAGAGGAAACGTTATTGATACCATGGATGAAAATCCTATAAAATTGGATTATAATGATTTTTCTCTGGGTCAAAAGTTTTCTCAACATATGTCATCACTGATTCTAGAAGTCATTAACACAAAGGGAAAACCCGCACAGAGCATGACAGAGGAAACAGCCGCGACCCACCTTACTGCTCACGCTTCTGCTGTGGCCTGTCCCTCGCAGGTGCGCGATGATCTCAGTCCCCGAGACAGCGCCAGGCCCCTAGAGGCTGAGTGCCTTACTAGGCTCCTGGCCCCAAGGCCCAGGCTCTTCCGTAACCTCTTCCTGTGACTCGCCCCCCGTGCCCTTCTGTAAGGCCCGGTGGTGGCATCGGCCCCCACGTGGCCCAGTCCCATCTGCAAACTACCTTTTGCTTTGGGAGGTGACATGACCACAGGTTCCAAAGATTAGGATGTGGGCATTTCGGGGAGGCATTTTTCTGTCTGCCATATCAAGATTTCAACAAATTAGTTCATGAAAGAGTGAGAGAATGCAGTCTCCCCTGACACTGGGCCAGGAGTTACACTGACCTCCCCAGAACACACAGAGCGTGGCCAACCCATTGTTCTCTGGGCGCATCAAGCTGACCCTCCTAATAACTTCAAGTCCCCCCTGCAAATGCGAAACCAAACCCCAGGCTGCCGCACAGGGTCTTGTGAGAAGCCCCAGGCCTGGGGCAAGACCAGAGACCCCAGCGAGGAGGCAGGGACTTGTCCATTCCTTCTCGGAACCAGACTGACTACCAGGCCATGTATGTCTGCGGCATTCCACATAAACCTGTGCTGTGGTCCGAGGATCCTGAGCGTGATGCACCGCGAGTGTCTCCAGCGAATTCCTCCGGGCATCCACAGTGCCCCACGGTTATCCTGGTCCTCTTTAGCCGGGGGGTTGTTTCCACAAACCCCTCAGAACTTGTTCTGGAACGGAGCCCAGTCTTTAAGGCACCCCCACTCCCAGCATCTGAACTCTCAAGACAAGTATGCAAGGCTGGGCATCGCCTCTGGCAGGAGTCTGACCACAGCGCTGAGCCCTGAGAGGCCAGGGTGGATCTGGGCAGAGGCCTCACCGCCATGGGTCAAGGCGGCAGCTGAACTCCTGAAACGTGGGAAACTGTCTGTGTGAACTTAGTGCCCATGCTTTCTTGGGACTGTAGCCACGAGCCACCTTTTACCCACTTATGCTCTAGATCTTCCTGATAAATGCACAAGAGGACAGTCTGAGCTCCCAGTCCCGGGAGAGACAACACGGCAGTTCAGCTGAGCACAGGGGACGGAGACCACGTTCACCCGGCTGCAGGCAGGAAGCCCCATGCCTGAGGGGGACAGTGCGGGAACCAGGACGGAGACACCTGCACTGGGTCGTGCAGGAGTCAGCCAGCTCCTCGGGGCCAAGGAAAGGACAGGGAATTCAGTGCTTGTGGCTGGGCGCATAGAAACGAGAGATTGTGATGGATTCGTGAACTATGTCTGGAAGTAATCTGTCAGGTGTATAAAAGAATAAGGGGCACCATTTCAGAAAGACCGTGGTTGCCAAATATCCAGTTGCGGATTTATGCCTTCAGGGAGCTGGTCCTGCAGGAGAGTGGGCCCCCCTGGAGGCGGGTCCTGGCAGAGGCTCAGACCCAAGGCCGCAAACGCTTCTCACTTTCCAGGAACCACACCTCCCCTGTGGGCTAAGTTCATGGGAGAAGCGAATCCAGCCTGGCTGCTCAGGCCAGCCCCCGAGAGGGCGACCCGCCTGCCACGCACTGATGGGTGACTCACGGGCCATGTCCATCCCAGGAAATGCAGCCAGAGGGCAGGGGAGATTCTGGTCTAGGAAGGACAACCAAGCATGAGAACTGGGAAAACTGGGGTCTGCCCCTATGGGGAAGCGAGTGAGGACACACAGCAGATGGCAGCTGGCTGGTGGAGAGGGGACCTGGGCACCAGCAGGACTGGCTTTGGGGCTTGGGGCCCATCCTGACTGCTGGCTTCAGGAGTGAGAGGATCTGCGGGATTGAGGCGTGTGGCCCCCGGGAACAGGCTCCATCCTGTCCAGGGTGAGTGTGGGTGACACCCTG